CCTCAATAGACACTCCAGTTTATTTTTTGTTAATTTTTTGTTTGTTTTTTATTTTCTAATTTGCAGTAATATGTTTTATAAAGACTTGTAACACTTTTTTTTATCATTCTTTGCTTAGTTATTTTATATATTTTTTTTTCTTTTTACAATTTAAATATATATTTTTCTTAAATGTTAATATGTTTAAAAATAAAAAATTCAGATTAACTTTGACGTCATTTTTTTTTTGTTTATGATTTTTTAAAAAACATTTTATTTTATAATTTGCGGTGACATGTTTTGTAACGCTTTTTTATCATTCTTTGCTTAGTTATTTTATATATATTTTTTCTGTTTACAATTTAATTTTTTTATGTCAATATGTTTAAAAATAAAAATTTCAGATACATTTCGACATTATTGTGTTTATCATTTTTTAAATACTTTTATTTACATTTTTTATATATTTTTATTTTCCAATATGAAGAATGATGTCATATGATGCCTTGCTATTTTTAACCTAATAAATAAAATGTCCTTAATTTGCGTCTGTTCCTCACAGAGTGACTTGTGGGGATACGATTGCTTGAGGCGCGATTTACCTTGCGTTGCAGCAATGCGCGGCGAAGCACGTTAGGCGCAATGGTCCGCTGCGTTGCCAATCATGAATCATCCGGAGACCTCCTGCTTTCCAGCTCCCTCGTCAACTCCTCCCATACTCGCCTCCAGGACTTCACTAGAGTGTCTCCCAACCTCTGGAACTCTCTACCCCAACCTGTCCGTCTATCTCCCACCCTGACTGCCTTTAGGCGATCCCTTAAGACTCATCTCTTCAGGGAAGCCGATCCCACCTCAACCTAACCGCTCAACCATTCATCCCCACACAGCTCCCTCCTCGTGTATCACTTGCCCCTCCCCTTTTAGATTGTAAGCCCTCAGGGGCAGGGCCCTCCTTACCATCTTGCCTTGAATTGTATTGTGATTGTAATGTCTTCCTTATATTGTAAAGCGCTGCGCAAACTGTGGGCGCTCTATAAATCCTGTATAATAATAATAATGAGTGGCCTTGCGAGGTAACGTGCGTTGCCAGAAAGACATTTTTCGGTGCATTTTGCTGCATTAGGCAACAAATTCAAATAAATGGGCTGCCCTAACGCAACGCGCATGTGCGCATGTGCGTTCAACACACCGCAGAGGTGTACATGGGCCCTATCTGTATTACCGGGTCTCAGACGTGGTGGCAGCATATGTTTCCTTTTTTTCTCCTTCATCCTGGGGATCCCACCAGTAACATGTTTCCTGCCCTAGGGTGACTAAAGAACACCTCCCCCTCCGCTCCACATCTTCATTACATGGAGGGAGGTGTTTTGTAGTCCGTAGAGAGAGAGAGCTTGGGAGCTTTGATCACCTTCAATTGGACATCTAAAAGACATTAAATCTGAACTTCCCTTTGGAAAATCCCAAATTTTGAGTTGGCACTAGAACAGCAGTCAAGGGGAAAGGGTCCAATGGGGACACCTGTTCTGGTGACAACTGTCCAAGAGATTATTTCCTCTCACTTCCTGTTGTGTCTATGGGACAGGAAGTTTTATTATTCAATTATATCTTATTATTATTTCTTCTTATTTTTGTAAATATTTTTGTAAATTTTTATTTGTTTAATTATTTTTTAATCAATGTAATTTTTTTTGATTTTTTATTTATCTTTTTCCTTTTTTATAATTAACTTTTTTTTAATAATTTTATTCTCAATAGTTACAAAGGATATACCTAGTAACAGTAGCAGTGACATCATCACTTGGCTGTACATAGCCTGAGCAGAGAGCATGCCCAGCCCAGCAGGCTCCACCCACCACAGGCTGCTGTAGAAAACTACAGGAGGGGGCGGAGACAAGACCACTCACCCTGCACAAGGAGAGAGAGAGATCAGCAGTGACCAGTCTTTATTACAGGAGGGGGCGGAGACAAGACCAGTCACTCTGCACCAGGAGAGAGAGCAGCAGCGACCGGTCTTTATTACAGCAAGGGGGAGGAGACAAGACCAGTCACCCTGCTAAAGGAGAGACAAGAGCAGTGAGCGGTCTTTATTACAGGAAGTGTCACACTAGTACACTGCCCGGACCTGGAAGAAATACACACAGCTCACCGAGATTCAGGAAGAAGACACAGGACTCTTGTACGAGGACACTATTTGGTGATCCCAAATTTCAGCTTTGCAAATGCCCAGCCCAGCAGGCTCCACCCACCACAGGCTGCTGTAGAAAACTACAGGAGGGGGCGGAGACAAGACCACTCACCCTGCACAAGGAGAGAGAGAGATCAGCAGTGACCAGTCTTTATTACAGGAGGGGGCGGAGACAAGACCATTCACCTGCACAAGGTGAGAGAGCAGCAGCGACCAGTCTTTATTACAGGAGGGGGCGGAGACAAGACCAGTCACCCTGCACAAGCAGAGAGATCAGCAGTGAGCGGTCTTTATTACAGGAAGTGTCACACTAGTACACTGCCCGGACCTGGAAGAAATACACACAGCTCACCGAGATTCAGGAAGAAGACACAGGACTCTTGTACGAGGACACTATTTGGTGATCCCAAATTTCAGCTTTAAGTCTTCACCTAAAAATAGAGAAATTACTGAAGTTGTAAAAAAAATAGTTTTTTTTGGGCAGGCGGTGACGCGTTTTATTGACCAATGAGCAGCAGACGCTCTTTTTCCATTGTCTTGCCCTCTCCGGGGCTGTGATGTGATGGAGATATTTCGGGATGCTGACAATGATGGAATTGCCTTTCTGATGAATCCACCGCAGTCTGTTCCATCCAGCGGAGGCGGACGCATTCCCGGGTGTCTGAGTCCTTCCCACAGACGCATGTCACTGGACGCAGACCTGGCAGGACCCGTGTTTTCTCTACGGCAGAGAATACTCCAATACAGAAACCTCTTGTATTTATTTATGACTCTCTCACCCCCCTCCATCCATATCACTCTCTTTGTTTTTCAGTAATGAATCCAACAAATATATATATATTGAGCAGCACTTACAGTCATCATGCTTCAGAACAGCTCCAACTCCCTCAGTTCAGCTTCCCTGAACTTCCTGTCCAGTACGCGATCACAAAGGGGCAGAGCTGTCTACAGCAGCCGTCCATCTACTAGCTTGAAGAAGGAAGGAGGAGCAGTGGATTGGTTTGTGGAGACACACACAGCTTACTAGCTGCACCAATGTCGTTTTTTCGGTATCGAGTACGGGTCCCGGTATTTTGCTTACGGTACTCGTCGATACCGGTGCTTCCACTGCCCTGCAGCCGGATTCCCGGGCAATCTGATTGCCCGAGAAGCTGGTTGCATGTTGTCTGGCCGGCTTTATTGTGCTTGGCTGGGAAACTGGCTTCTCAGCCAATCAGCATGGAGCCGGCTTCCCGGCCAATCAGGAAGCCAGCCGGCGAGTAATAACCAGCCTCCTGATTGGCCGGGAAGCCGG